TCACTGGCACTGGCAGGCTCTCACCTGCTGTCCGAGCCCCCATCCTGCCCGTTGCCCCATGTGTAACCACCCAAGTCAAGGGCAGCTGGGGATGACCTCCATCTATGGGGTGAGTCAAAGGCCCGTCCTATTCTCTTCCTCTTTCATGACATTGCTGTGTTTTGAATGACTTCCCAAGTTTACTTATTTAGTTTTCATTTTATGTGAAAGACAGAAGACAAAGGGAACCTTCACACTGGTTCACTTCTGAAAATGCCAACAAGAACCAGACCAAAATTAGGAGCCCAGGACTCAGTCTAGATCTCCCACATGAGTGGCAGGGACCCAAGGACTTAAGCTCTTACCTGCTGCACCCCAGGGTGCACATTAGCAGGAAGCTGGGATTGGAAGCAGAGCCAGAAACAAACCCCTGCACCCCGATGCCAAATGGTGTGTTTACCACCTTGCTAAACACCCTCCCGCATGAGACTGTTTTCAAGGGCTTTTTCTGCCAAATTACAAACATAAGCACAGTAATTAATTTGTTTTCCATGAGATAACTAATATTCTGGATTGATATACTGATTTACCCTAATACCAGCAATCAGCAAAAGCACTTGAGCAAGATATATGTGCAATGATATTCAATGAAGGCTTTTTGTAATGGAGCAAATTGGAAAACTTAATAGCTAACATGAAGAGAATAGTTAAATTACTATACAGCCATACTGTAATATTAGCTAATATTTATGTATGTGTTTGTACATTTGCAGAAAAGGATCTGACACAGTGTTCCAAATCACTGTGTTTCTCGGGGAGGTGGAATGGTGTTGGGGTCATGTTGGCAGAGATGGGAGACAGGAAGTCTCAGAGATGTGTGGTTTATTCTTTCTGCTATATATATTTTTGATTTAAAAATGTTTTAAGCTTTTAAGCCAATAAAGACTTTTTTGTAAGGATTTATTTCTTCTTTTATTGGAAAGTCATATTTACAGTGAGGAGACAGAGAAAGATCTTCCATCCATTGATTCATTCTCCAAGGAGCAACAATGTCCAGAGCTAAGCTGATCCAAAGCCAGGAGCCTTCTGTGGGTCTGCCACATGGGTACAGGCTCCCAAGACCTGGGGCCGTCCCCTGCTGCTTTCCCAGATCACAAGCAGGGAGCTGGAAGGGAAGTGAAGCAGCCAGGACATGAACTGGCACCCATATGGGATCCCAGTGAATGCAAGGTGAGGACTCTAACCGCTAGGCTACTGTGCTCGGCCCCAATGAAGACTTTTTAAAAGTAGTTTGGGGACTGGCACCATGACATGGTATGTTAAGCTGCGGTTTGCAATTCCAGTATCCCACCTTGGAGCTCCGGATTGTGTCCTAGCTTCTGGCTTCATGCTCCCTGCTAACATGCCAGGACAAGCAGCAGAGGATTGGCCACGTTCACGTTCCTCTGTTACCCACAGGGGAGACTCAGATTGAGTTTGGGCTCCTGGTTTTAGCCTTACTCAGCCCGAGCTGTTGAGGCCAGTTAGAGAGTGAACCAGTGGATGGGACATCTCTGTCATTCTGCCTGTCAATAAATAAATAAGATTTTTAAAAAGTAGTTTGTGCAGAGCACATGCAGAAAAGTGTTTTCTTTCTTTTCATTTTTAAAGTCTTTTTTTCAAAAAACAAGATTTATTTTATTTTCATTACAAAGTCAGATATACAGAGAGGAGGAGAGACAGAGAAGAAGATCTTCTGTCCGATAATTCACTCCCCAAGTCAGCGCAACGGCCAGAACTGCACTGATCTGAAGCCAGGAACCAGGAACCTCTTTCAGATTTCCCACACGCAGGTGCAGGGTCCCAAAGCCTTGGACTATCCTTGATTGCTTTCCCAGGCCACAAGCAGAGAGCTGGATGGGAAGTGGAGCTGCCAAGATTAGAACTGACGCCCATATGGGATCCTGGCGTGTTCAAGGTGAGGACTTTTAGCTGCTAGGCCACGCCGCTGGGCCCCATTTATAAAGTCGTTTTAAAGATTTATTTTTATTGGAAAATTAGATATACAGAGAGGAGGAGACACAGAGAGAAAGAACTTACGTCTGTTGATTTACTCTCCAAGCAATGCCAAAACCAGGAGTCAGGAGCTCCCACATGGGTACAGGGTTCCAAGGCTTTGGGCCATCTTCAGTTGCTTTCCCAGGCCACAGGCAGGGAGCTGGATGGGAAGTGGAACATCTGGGGCATGAACTTAGTACCCGTGTGGGATCCCAGTGTTACAAGGTGAGGATTTAGCCACTGAGCCCTTGTGCTGGGCCCAAGTTCCTTTTGGCATTTAGGAATAGAGGAGATAGTTCATAGTCAGCCCCTTTGCCATTTAGGGAGCCAGGATGACAGTCAGAAGTTTAGAAGGTATTTTTCTTTCTCAGGCTGTTGGAAATCTGAACGTTTCAAAACCCAGCTCTTTGGTGTAGATTGAAACCACGGTATCTATTTCTCCAATTTGGATCACTTTAATGAAAATGCTCATTTTCCAAGCATGTACTTCACTCATTCTGAACTCTGTGCCTTCACACTGTGCTCCCTCCTCTTTGTTGCTTTTCCTAGAATTTTATCTCAAAACTCACCTCTCCCAAGCGTAAACCAAATCTTCCTTCCCTGTGTGGGTACCACTTTGTAATTTCTGGTTCACTTCTCAGTTGGCAGCTACATTTATTTGCACTTATTATTTTATATTTGACTCTTCTGGTGTGTCTGTAGCCTTTAAGTTATAAACATTAAGGACAGGTCTACTTCTTTCTTATTACTTCTATTATTTCAAATACCAAAACCTAGCATGGTTCAGGATGAGTACCTAATTCAAACAGGAAGCCAAATGCTCTAGTCAGGAAGAATTATCAGACACTTTTAAATTTTTTATTTTTTTAAGATTCATTTTTAAAATTTTTATGGAAAGTCAGATATACAGAGAGGAGGAGAGACAGAGAGAAAGATCTTCTGCTTGCTGATTCACTCCCCAAGTGGCTGCAATGGCTAGAGCTGAGCCAATCCATAGCCAGGAGCCAGGCAGGAGCTTCTTCCGGGTCTCCCATGTAGGTGCAGGGTCCCAAGGCTTTGGGCCATCCTTGACTGCTTTCCCAGGCCACAAGCAGGGAGCTGGATGGGAAGTGGGGCTGCCAGGATTAGAACCAGCACCCATATGGGATCCTGGCGCATACAAGGTGAGGACTTTAGCCACTAGGCTACTGTGTTGGGCCCTAATTTTAATTTTTGATGATGATTACATGGTTGACTAGGGTGGGAAGGACCAAGGGTTAGGGAAAAGTAGATGAAATCATTGTTTCCAAATTCTCTATTTCTTCTTGTCTCTGAGGGAAGGGGAAAGATAAAGCAGGAAGCCACACCCAGCCTCCCAAAGGTCCCAATACCCAGGGATGGGGAACCGCCTCCCAGTATCAACCTAGCGTCCTGATGTGGTGCAGATATTTTATGTTCCTTTTAGAGATGCTATCAAGAGAAACACCTTTATACACTGGAGAGATATCGCCAGGTATCTGGCTGTTACTATCTTAACCAAGCAAACTTAGCATAATTAATAGACATTCTGTCCCGATGAGACTGTAATGTGATGTAATGTGAAATACGTAATATCATATATTATTTGCAAAAATACTTGAGCTGAATCTAATCAAGCATATAGGCCTACCTGCATTTGCAGGATCACAGGCTAACCACTCTGTCCAACAACTTCCTGCACTGATGTAAATGTTCTACATCTGCACTGTCCCATAGTAATCACAATCTCCTGAAAGCTTATTTTAATTCAATTTAAATTTAAATAACATGTGGCTTGTGGCTTCTCTACTGGACAGGAGAACAAGGCAAACACTATAACGAGGTGTGGAAGCTTGGCTCTGCGGTTGCAATGCCACTTAAGAATGGCTGCACCCCATAAAGGAGTGCCTGGGGGTCAGCCCCAACTCTCCTGCTGATTTTTTTTAAAGAATGCTTTTTATAAAAGTATTTTAAAAGATTTACTTATTTTGATTGGAAAGGCAGTTGTAGGAGACAGATCTTCTAGCCACTGGTTTCACTCTCAAGATGGCCCTCAACAGCCAGAGCTGAGCTGCTCCAAAGCTGGGAACCTGGAGCTTCTGCCAGGTCTGCCATTTGGGTGCAAGGGCCCAACTACTTGGCCCATCCTCCACCGTTTTCCCAGGTCATAAGCAGGAAGTTGGATGGGAAGTGGAACAGCTTGGATTAGAACTGGTGCCCATACGGGATGCCTGTGTCACAGGCAAACGTTAGCACACTGTGCCACATGTTTTGAGATCTTCCATCTGTCTACGGCCATACCACCCTGAACGCGCCTGATCTCTGAGATCTTCCATCTGCTGGCTCACTCCCCAAATGGCCACAATGGCTGCAGCTGAGCCAGTCTGCAGACAGGAGCAGGAGGTTCTCTGGAGTCCCACATGTGACTGCAGGGGCCCGAATACTTGAGCCATCTTTGCTGCTTTCCCACACACGGGCAGGAAGTTGGATCAGAAGTGAAACAGCCGGGACTTGAACTAATGCCCATATAGGATACTAGTGCAACCGGCAGTAGCTTTACCCACTATACTATAAAGTCAGCCCCTGTTTTAAAATATTCTATTTATTTGTTTATTTAAAGACAGAGCATCAGAGAAAGAGAGAGAGATCTTCTATCCTCTAGTTTACCTCCTAACAGGGCTAGGCCAGGTTGAAGCAAGGAGCCCAGAATTCCATCAAGGTCTCACATATGATGGTAGGGATCCAAGTAGCTGAGCCATCACCGGCTGCCACCCAGGGTGCGATTAGCAGAAAGCTCATCAGAAGCAGATGCAGGACTCAAACCCAGGCCCTCTGCTATGGGCTGCAGATGTCTGAGGCAGCAGCTCTTCCATTGCACCACAGTGCCCACCCCTCTGTAGACCCATCTACTCAGTTCTTCCTGACTCACATAGCCTTTGATGTTCTTTTTCCATCTTTGCCCAAAGAAAAATATTGAGATCTTGAGATATAATAATATCACTTTACTTAGAAGATAGGCACAATGCAGGGCTGACCTCACTGAACAACTAATCATGGAATGATACAAATGTGCTTGCTGAGTTTTCCAGAAAGGGCTCAGTCACTGTGAACAATGAAGAGAAAGCAGGAGGGTGGCTAAGCAACCCTAGTGTTTTCAGCAAGCGCCTCTCGCTCCTGTGGGCAGCCCTAGGGGGCAGTGGCTGTGTTCAGGAGAGGCATTTCCTGGCCCTGGCCCTTTCAGCGGTAGGCCTTGTTGAACTCCTGGAGGGCCCAGCGTTTGTTCTCGGTTGCCTGCTTGAGCTGCGTGTACTCTTTCACCAGCCTGTCAAACTCCTCCCCCAGCACCTCGTAGGTGTTCAGAACCTGCCGCGACTTCTCCATGTCCTGCTCCTGAAGGCGAATGGCTCCCTCCAGGCGGTCCCTGCGAGCCCAGGGAGAGAGTGCACCATGAAGAGGGGGCTCCTCAGAATGGGGAAGTGTTCAATGCACAGACCTTGGCCGTGCAGGTGGCAGCTGTGCCAGGCTCGGCTTGGGGGAGACAGTTCTCACCTGATGAGGCGATGAACTTCCACTTTTTCAGCAGTGTAAGTGTCGGACAAAATCTTGAGCTCCTCCATCCTGCGACAGGGTGGGAAGAAACGTCACACAGAACACTGACTGAGGCAGAGCTAGGAACAGATACAGAGAATTCCAGCTTTCCCCGGGGGCCACCCGCACCTCAGCTTGAGGATCATGGCGCTACACTTGATCTCCAGGTACTGGGCGTTGATGCGGTCCAGCTCTGACTGGGTCTTCAGCCGGTGCTCCTGCAGGAGCCTCTGCAGCAAGGCCAGGCAGCGGAGGAGCACCTGAGCCCCGGGGGGGGGGGGGGGGGGGAAGAAGCCAGAAACCAAGACAGATTAGCACCCCAGACTCCTGTGAGGGTGCACCTGGGGGTCAGGCTGAGGAGGGAGGGGCTGCCCAATGCACCCCGCCACACCTGGGAGTAGGTGGCGCTTTTCCTCTCCAACAGCACCATCTGCTCCTTCTGCTGGCGCTTGGCGTCCTGGCACTGCCGCTTTTCTCCCACCAGCACCTCCGCCAGCTTCCACACCTTGACTGCCTTCAGGGTTTCGCTGTCAGCATCTGGCCGGGGGACAGAGCACCGAGGGGCAAACCCTGATTGCCACTGTTGCTCTTGCATAGCGATTTCTTACATGTCACCCTGCAAATTCTGCTTTCATCTGTTTTTATTTTCCCTCCTGTAGCCTTGTCAAAGACCGTCAAAGACTGCTCTCATAGTTAAGTTCTCTTTTTCTGACCTTTGGTTCCAGGGTTGGCTCTTAATTTGTAAGTCATAAAGAGAAGGGGAACACACCAGTGTCCACCTGAACTTCCCTCTTTGCCATCGTGCCCCTCCTGAGAAGAACTCGGCCTTGTCAGCAGCAGGACACTCAGGGTTGCTGAATAAAAGCAGTCCTCACGGGCCTGGCATGATGGCTCAATGGCTAAATCCTCACCTCGCAAGTGATAGGATCCCATATGGGCACCAGTATGTGTCCTGGCTGCTCCACTTCCTATTCAGCTCCCTGCTTGTGGGTCAAGTCCTTGGGATCCTGCACCCATGTGGAAGACATGGAAGAGCCTCCTGGATTCAGAAGAGCTTAGCTACAGCCATTGCAGCCATTTGGGGAGTGAACCAGCTATAAATCTGATCTGCCTTCCCAATAAATATAAATCTTAAAAAAAAAAAAAAGGCAGTCCTCACCAAGGTCTCGGTTTTCAACAAAGGATGACCATCTGGTGCATAAAACGCCCATCCCAAATCTAAGATCCAGTACATTGTTCCCAAAAGAGCAGAGCAGGGGCCCTCAAGTCTGGCTGTGAGCAGAGCTCAGGGAGCTGGCCCTCACCTGAATTGGGGTCGTGGTAGCAAAGCAGAGTGAAGCATTTCTTTTTGAGCTGCTCTTCCACTTCCTGCAGGAGCCGGGCTCGCATCCATGTGAAATCCTACAGCCGTGAGACCAAAATAGAGATGCGAGGAGACTGTCAGAACCATGAAGACCCAGACAGGGAAAACATGATAACTACATCAGTAATAACAAAGAAAGTGAATCAGAAGATATCAGGGAGATTCACTGTAACCCTGTTAAATTAGTAAAAAGCAAAATGACTTATTATGCCCATGTCCCATATCCGGGTGCCTGGGGAACACACCCACCTCTGGCTTCCCTGCTGCCCGTACAGGAGGCCTGGACTGAGTTCCGGGCTGCCAGGATTGGCCCATCCCAGCCCTGGGCATGAGAGTTTGGCAATGTACTAACGTGCTCTAGGTATATATGCTCTGACCCAGTGATTCACTTTTAGCACCAATATCAGAGAAATGATCATACAAAGATACACATGAACTAGCAAAGGTAGCAGTAACCATAACACCTATCACTAAGATTCAGCAAATTCTGCTACCTCCAAATAATTCCAGCAGTAATTTAAATTGATACTTTACTAAGAACAGTGGGTGCTGTGTGCTAAGACTGCCATGGGAAGTATCACCTCACTTAGTGTACTTTTTAAAAAATGTGTATTCATGGGGCTGGCGCCATGGCTCATCAGGCTAATTCTCCACCTAGAAGTGCCAGCATCCCCTATGAGTGCCAGTTCATCTACTGGCTGCTCCATTTCCCACCCAGCTCCCTGCCTGTAGCCCGGGAAAACTGTAAAGGATGGCCTAAAGCCTTGGGACTCTGCACCTGCATGGGAAACTTGTATAAAGCTTCTGGCTCCCAGCTTCAGGTAGGCTCAGCTCCGGCCATTGTGGCCACTTGGGAAGTGAACCAGTGGATGAAAGATCTCTTTATATCTCTCCTTCTCTTAAAATACAAATTTTAAGTACTTATTAGAAAGGAGGACTGAGAAAGAAAAAGAGAGAGAGAGTGCGAGTGAGCGAGTGCCTGCTTCCATCTGCCAGGAGCCAGGAACCCAAGCATACAGACGGTCAGCTGCTGCCTTCCAGGCAACACCAGCAGGAAGCTGGGCCGGAAGCAGAGGAGCAGGGACTCAAAAGGGGCACTCCAGTAGAGGCTGTGCAAGCTCTGGGTGGAAGCCCACACAGCCATGCTACAACGTCACCCCTACATTTACTTAGTGACTTAAAAAGAAGGTTGAAAATATATTAGGTAGAAACAGACTATATTCTAAACAAGTATGGGGGTGACTATGTCAAATTGTTTATAATCATACTATTATCAGAAGCTGCATTTCAGCTTTTATTTTCTTCTGTTGTTCATTTTTACAAAAATACACTAAGATCAGTAAAAAAAAAAAAAAAAAAAAATCATAGATCTGGGAGAAAATAAGCCATTTTGCTTCTTGGGTCCCGATACTGGCCCACTCCCAACCTCCGAGGGTGGCATGAGTTCCAGAAGGTCTGCTTTCTCCAGGCCTAGCAGCGGAGGCCTCTCTGTCTCCTGGCTGGGACCCAGGAGCCGGCTCAGCTCAGTCACAAGTAGTCGCTGTTCCAGGGTCTCATGAAACTGAGAGAGAAAAAAAAATGAAGAGCAGTGACTAAAACGTCTCCTGGCACACCACTTCCTTACGAACCATCTTCAGAGTCATCCAACATGTCATCCCCTTTGCTCAGCCCTTAGCTGCTAATGACTTGCCCTGTCAAGCTTTCTATTCCAAAACCCTGACAACACACACATTCCTTCTCCCCGGCTCCAGTCCCTTTCTTTGTTAATATTCTGGCATTTTCCCTCAGATCCCATAATCAAAGGTCTGGCTGGTAACCAACTTCTGCCTAATCTCTTCCGCCTTACCTTTTTGTCTTCAGAAGTTATATTTGTGTCTTGTGTCTTTACATAGTAGTCCACAAGCAGCTCTTGAATGATCCTCTGTAAGATTTCTGACCTTAGCCATACTGTCTTATGCACTCGCACCTCCTTCCAAGCCTGGAAAACCGAAACATCCCACAAAGGAGAAAAGCTGGCTTGAGCTTCTCCCCTCTTCCCGCAGTCCCTCCGCCCAGGACCCTCACCTGAGCCTGCTCCTCTGCGAGGGTGAGGCTTAAGCCGCTCTCATCCACATGCTGTGAGAGACTCAGCAGCAGTTTGCTGAAGTATGGGTTCTGCAGCAGGTCCTCTTCACTCAGGTTACAAGGAGGAAACTGCTTGTTGCACACTTTGTGACACATACCCCCAAACGCACACAAAGAAAAAAAACAAAGGTTTGATTCTTGCTTTATATAATTGAGCATGATTTCATAATCATTTCCCAAATGAATCTGGGTTTTGCAGTAGCAAAGATTTTTTTTTTAAGATTTGTTTATTTTTATTGAAAAGTCAGATATACAGAGAGAAAGAAAGACAAAGATCTCTGTCTGCTGATTTCACTTCCCAAGTGGCCACAATGGCTGGAGCTGAGCTGATCCTGAAGCCAGGAGCCAGGAGCTTCTTCTGGGTTTCCCACACAGATGCAGGGTCCCAAGACTTTGGGCTTTCCCAGGCCACAAGCAGGGATGGGAAGTGGGGCTGCTAGGACACAAACCGGTCCCCATATGGGATCCCAGCACGTGCAAGGTAAGGACTAAAGACATTAGGCTACCATGCTGGGCCCAGTATGAAGCTAATGATATTTTTTTATTTATTGTTTTAAAGAGTTATTTATTGAGCCTGCTACAGTAGCCTAGTGGCTAAATCCTTGCCTTGTGTGTGCCAGGATCCCATATGGGCATCAGCTCATATCCTGCTGCTCTACTTCCCTTCCAGCTCCCTACTGGTAGCCTGTGAAAGCAGTAGCGAATGGCCCAAAGCCTTGGGACCATGCACCCACATAGGAGACCCAGAAGAAGCTCGTGGCTCCTGGCTTTGAATTGGTTCAGCTCCAGCCACTGTGTCCATCTGGGGAATGAATCAGTGGACAGTGGACAGAAGATCTTTCTGTCTTTCCTTTTCTCCATAAATCTGATCTGATTTTCCAATACAAATGAGTATATCTTTAAAAAGCTACACATTCAGCCCAGTTGTTACAATGGTAGCTAAACGACGCCCACATTCCAGATACTCATGGTAGCCACCAGGCTCTCACTCCTCAGTCCAACTTCCTGATAATTCAGACCCTAGAAAGTAGCAGTGATGGCTCAACCCTCAGGACACCTGCCACTCATGTGCGAGTTATGGATTGACTTCCTGGTTCTTGTTTTGACCTAGCCCCGTATCTGGCACATAGGGACTGGGCAATGAACCAACAGATGAAAGCGCTCTCCATTCACTTTGCCTTTCAAACAAAATGAAAATAAATAATAAATACACAAGAACAATTCACAAATAGAGATAAAACTCAAAGGAACAGGTACCTACGTTATGCATGAGGATTATTAATTTAGGAAGAAAGAGTATCTAATAAAACTAAGATTTTTTAAAAAGAAATTATTTAGAATTTTTTTATAATTTATTTTTATTTGAAAGGCAGAATTACAGAAAGAAAGAGAGATCTTCCATCTGCTAGTTCACTCCTCAAATGGCCATAATGGCCAGAGCTAAGCTAATTCAAAGCCAGAAGCCTGGAGTTTTCTCTAAGTCTCCCACATGGGTACAGGGTCCCAAAGCCTTGGGCCATCCTCTGCTGCTTTCCCAGTCCATAAGCAGGGAGCTGCATGGGAAGTGGAACAGCTAGGACTAAAACTGGTGCCTGGGCCTCACGGCGTGGCCTAATGGCTGAAGTCCTCGCCTTGAAAGTACCGGGATCCCATATGGGTGCCGGTTCTAATCCCGGCAGCTCCACTTCCCATCCAGCTCCCCTGCTTGTGGCCTGGGAATGCAGTGGAGGACGGCTCAATGCTTTGGGATCCTGCACCCATGTGGGAGACCTGGAGGAAGTTCCTGGTTCCTGGCTCCGGATCGACACAGCATCGGATATTGCGCTCACTTGGGGAGTGATTCATTAGACAGAAGATCTTCCTTTCTGTCTCTCTTCCTCTCTGTATATCTGACTTTGTAATAAAACATAAATAAATAAATCTTTAAAAGATAAATAAATAAATCTTTAAAAAAAAAAATGGTGGCTGTATAGGGTGTTGATACTGGCAGGCAGAAGATCAGCCTGTTAAGCTGCTGCCCTGGCCCCTAACATAACTAAGATCTTAGGAATAAATAACTAAATAAAAAAGAAATTCAGTTGTAAATATTAGCCAAACAGAATCAAGAAAAAGAGATCCTAGAGTAGGGATCATTGCAGCCACCAAAATGCCTCATTCACACAGAATTTAGAGTTTTTAAAGAAGTGGATAAAACACAAAGATACAACTTTAGGTGCCCCCATCCAGCTTCCCGCTCACACAATCCTGGAAAGCAGACAGATATGGTCCAAGTACTTGGGCCCTTGCCACCCATAGAGAAGCTCCCGGTTTCAGCCTTGGCCCAGCCCTGCTTCTACCAGGATTTGGGAGGTGATTCAATAGAAGCAAAATCAGGGCCCAGCGCGGTGGCGCAGTGGTTTAAGGTCCTCGCCTTGCACGCCTGGGATCCCATATGGGCGCCGGTTTTAATCCTGGCGGCCCCTCTTCCCATCCAGCTCCCCGCCTGGGAAAGCAGTGGAGGACAGCCCAAAGCTTTGGGACCCTGCACCCGCGTGGGAGACCCAGAAGAGGCTCCTGGCTTCGGATCGGCATAGCATTGACCACTGCGCTCACTTGGGGAGTGAATCATCGGACGGAAGATCTTCCTCTCTGTCTCTCCTCTCTGTATCTCTGCCTTTCCAATAAAAATAAAATAAATCATAAAAAAGCAAGATCCACCCACTTCCTGTGTGTTTCTCCATTGATCTGTTTCTCCAATAAATAATTTAAAAACAAAAAAAAGAAAGAAAGAAAAGAAGCTTGCAAACAGCCCTTACCTTGGTGAAGTATTTCTGCCCCTTCTCCAGGGGAACAGAAATCCCCAGACGCCATCCAGCGTTCTTATCTGTGGAACCAAGACAGAGAAGGTAAAAAGATGAGTGGCTGGCTTACTCCAAACCAAACTTGCTCAGGTACAAACTGCCTTTGTCCAAAAGCAGAGAAGGAACTGCAGGGATCCCTTACAGAGGGACATCAGCACACATCTGGGGACCCAAGCTCTTAACACAGGTTCATAAACACAGACCAACAGGTGCCCAAAACAGTATGCCTTCCACTCACCTCTGTCCACTTGTTCCGAGCTGTCCGAAAAACAAGCTTCTGGAAAAGAAAGAAAACTCTCCAACTAACTAGGGCCTAGTCAGGATTCTTCCCCACCCCCCACTCTCACCCCCTCTGCCATTACGTCAAGGTTATAACCCAGCTGCTGTTCCCCAGTTATGAGGCAAAGAGGAAAAATATCAAAGGCAGCTTTCCCCCCAAGTCAAATAACTCAGCTATCAAATTCCACAATAGCTTTTTTGTGCTTGTTTAACTTGTTCTTTCATCTAAGATTTGTTGCTAGTGTTTGATCATTAACTCTAGAATCATCCTTCAGGAGTGACAAATCACTCCACACTTGAACAGCAACAACTGGTTTTCACATAACAGTGTTAGCGAAGGGTACCTGGGGGGTTGGGGAGGAAGTGTGACAGGCAGGCCAATCAGGGAACAGCAAGGTACAGTGGCCACTGCCCAGGCAGGAGTGCTGGGTGCTTAGCCAGAAGGTGGAATGCTCAGAGAATGACATCCATGCAAAGGGGCAGGAAAGATGGACACGACGTGGACACTTCCCCCCACTCCCAGGCATTGCTTTTCTGCACTTTGGCCCCACCTCCTCCTATCTGGAGGGTCCCACACTCCCGCAGAGCCGCACCTCCCTGCTCTGGGAAGGAAGGCCTTGAAGGTTATTAGGATTTAACACTGCATGTTCACAGCACATTCGGTTTCCTTGCCCGGTTTTATGAGTCGCATCAAAGTAACTACTCATTTGTTTTCGAGTATGGTCTCCAGGGGAACCTGGCTGAGGATGTAGAAGGCAGACCCCGCCTCGTGGCTTCTGTGTGTGAATTGACAGGGAAAAGCTATCTAGGCGCCCCCAACTTTTTTCCACTTACAAAGCAGGAGTCCTGTTTGGAGAACACATTAAGAAAGGCACACAACTGACCCAAAAACCACTATTTAGTTAAGCCCAGTGTTATTTAAGCCCGCTCCCAGGAAAGGGTTTGTAAAGGCGGAAGTGAGGCCCAACTCAGACTTCAGAAAGTCAACGCGTTTCCCGGCAGGGGCAAGCTCCCCCGCCCCACTTTTTTTTAGGGTGCTTTTCTTTACCCTTTAAAAATGTTACAGGGCGTGCGCGATGGCGGCAATCAAGACTCGATTCTCCACCCTCTGCTCTCAGACGTGTTAAAACGCTGCCACAGGGACCCAAGCATTTAAATGTTCTGACTCAGGCGTCTTAGAGCTGTCTTTACACGCTGCACTGAACGTTAAATTGATTTTACAGGTATTTTCACAAGATGTGACCCTTGCAGGGCCCAAGATGAATCAAAATGCAGAACGGGCTCCTCGGCGCCGACTTCCCTCCTGTCTGGGCCGCCAAGGAGTCCCAAGGGCGGCCGGAGGGGACCGTCCCGGCGCTCCTCCTTCCCGCGCCGCTCGCCCACCGACCCTCTCAAGCAAACCTGCGCTCCCGGGGGCAGCTGAGGCTCCCGAGGCAGGGCCGAGGGGCCTGGGCCGGGCAGGCCGGCGGCGTCCACACCCGGCTCCGGAACCTCCGAGTCGGGCCCGCACGCGGGCCGGGGGACGCGGGGCCCGGGAGGACAGCGCGGGAACACCGCGGAAGGGGCGGAAGGCGTCGCCGAGGGCGCGCGGAGAGGGGGCGGGGCCGCGGCCGAGGCGGGAAGGCCAGGCCCCGCCCCTCGCCGGGCGCGTGCCCGAGGCCTCCAACCGCCGGCGCGCTCCCGACGGGGAGGGCGGGGGGGGTCGGATCCTGCCGGGAAAGCCGTCTTAGCGACACCCCCGACCCCCGCGCCGCCGCGCCTTCCCACGAGTTTAAGGACAAATGTCGAGAAAATGACCCTTGCCAACATTGGGTCAGGGTGTCGGATGAGTCAGGCACTATACCTAGTTGGTTTTGCCTCATGCAATGACGACTGCAGGTGCTATGAGGAAGTCACTCTCATACCCATTTTGCAGATGGGAAAACGAGAGTACAAGAAGTTGCGTTCAAGGTCACAGCTCGCAGACTCCAGGCCTGACTCGATGTCCCTCTTTGCTTTCCCAGGCCTTGCGGTCCGTCCACCTCGCACCCCGGGTCGCCTCACTTGCACCTACTCAGCCCCCTCCTGCGGCCTGCGACCTGCGGCCTGCAGCTGCCCGGCTGGCTTCGCCTCTTGACCTTGGTTGGGTTCCCAGAGCTTCTCTGCCTTCCCTGTATCTCCGCTCTGACTTCTCCGAAAACCCACCCTGTTTTCATAGGTGAGTCGAGTCTGGAGGCCAATCTTTTTTCAAGGATAATAGTTGGTGCTAAGTAAAACTGCCCCAAGGTTTTCAGATGCCTCCTGGCCTCAGAGAAGCAGCTGATCGCCTGGGAGTGGTGTAGGGCCGGAGTTTGGCCATTCCCTTCTCAAGGCCAGCTGGAGAAATCTGATGCAGGTAGAGAAATGGCAGGTTCCGGTGCGAACGTTTGTCTCCTTGGTCAGCTCATCAGCTGCCACCTGTTGTGTTTAGAGTGCTGTCATTTTCTAAAGCTTTTAAAAAAATCATTTATGCTCCCTCAACTCGGTAGCGCGGCATGGTTAAATAACAGGCGTGGTGTCCCCAACAAACGACACTTGGAACAAAATAGCAAGGGAGCTTTGGTGACTCAGAGCTCATCACAAAATGTGCTGAAAGTCTGTCTCCCAGATCTGTCAAGATCTCCGAGACGGCACAGCTGCAAAAAGCTCTGGTTCCCCAGCTCCGAGGTGCTGGGGGGACTCGCAGGAGAAGGGTGCAGATGCCCAGCTCAGGTAGGAGGTTGAGAAAGTAGCCAAGGGAAGCCTGGCATTGCCTCAGACCCTCCTGGGCGGTTATCTGTGCCTCTCTGTCTCCTTAACAAGCCCTGTGACCTTGGGCTTCAGGCTCTCCATCTGTCAAAAGGAGGAAGGGACATCTTTCGAGTTCCGACCTTCTCATAGTGTTGATGTAATAATGATCCGATGAGATAATGGCTGAGAAAGTGAAGACTGAAAAAAAAAAACTGGGTTGCTTACATTGACACTTATTAGGCATGTATTAAGTGCCTTGAGAGATGCAAAGCTGAGTACATAGGAAGTGGTGCTTGCCCTGAAGTAGTTCAAAATCTAGTTGAAAAGATAAAGGTGCATGAAAAGCAGATAATACCAGGCAGCCGACAGATGCCAAAAGAGCAGTTTCGATTATAAATGCTTGTGGAACTTGACCTACGTATGGAATTCTTTTTCTGCAGAAAAAGATAGGAAAGACCGTGAAATAAATCTTATTGGGCCTGGAAGGAGACAGAAATTTTGGGTCATTTAGAATGGAAGAAACATTTCAGCAAATGGAGGCAGAGACAATGAGTACAATCGGCGTTCCAGGTTCAAGAGGAAATTGGAGCAGCTGAAGTGAAGGATTTTATAGGCCAGCTCCACACAATGCTGCGCCATACTGGCTGTTAAAATTGCAACAAAGGGGGTCAGTCATGGTAGCCTAGTGGCAAGTCCTTGCCTTGCACACGCCAGGATCCCATATGGGTGCCGGTTCTAATCCTGGCAACCCTGCTTCCCATCCAGCTCCCTGCTTGTGGCCCGGGAAAGCAGTCGAGGACGGCCCAAAGCCTTGGGATCCTGCACCCACGTGGGAGACCTGAAAGAGGCTCCTGGCTCCTGGCTCCTGGCTATGGATTGGCTCAGCTCTGGTCATTGTGGCCACATGGGGAGTGAATCATCGGAGGGAAGATCTTCCCTTCCTGTAAATCTGACTCTCCAAAAAATATAATAATAAAATAAATCTTAAAAAAAAACATCAAAGGACTGCAAAAAGAATCAGGCAATCAGACACCATCTGATGTCAGTAACCAAGAAAGGATTGCAAGAAAGGGTATAGAATGAGTTCCTTCTCGCCCTCCTTCCTTTTTTTTTTCACTCAGGTATTACAAGAACACTGCTTAAAGTCTACAGTACATTTGGCTAAAACTATAAATCCATCATCACAATTGAGATGGGAAATTTGGGGTGGGTATTGAACCTGGCACATGCCAGCGTCCTGTGTTAGAGCGCCTGGCTGCTTTCCCAGCTGCAGCTCCTGATTCCAGCTTCCCACTATCGCAGGCCCAGCGAGGCAGCAGGTAACGGCCCACGTGCCTGAGTCTGCACCTTACGGGAGGCATAGATTGTGTTCCTACTGCAGGCTTTGGTTTGGCCCAACCTAGGGGTGGCAAGCACTTGGGAGTGAGCCAGTGTTGGAGGGTTCCTGTGTGTCTAACACTTAAAAAAAAAAAAAAAAGGCAGTGAGCATATGCATCCACCCCCCCAAAAAAAATCTCCCCCTCTTAATAATTATGCTTTGCAGCCCCTCCCCACTCTAGTCAACCGGTGATGTGCTTTTTATCACTATTATTTAGACTTTTTTTTTTTTTAAGATTGATTTTTCTTGGAAAGGCAGATTTACAGAGAGGGAGAAACAGACTTTTCATGCATTGGTTGACTCCCCAAATGGCAGCAAGGTCAGCGCTGAACTGATCCAGAAGCCAGAAACCTGGAGCCTGGAATCAGGAGCTTCTTCACATCTCCCACCCGGGTACAAGGATCCCAAAGCTTTGGGCCATCCTCTGCTGCTTCCTCAGGCTGCAAGCAGGGAGCTGGATGGGAAGTGGAACCCAGATGGGATCGCCACGCTAGCAGATGGAGGATTGGCCTGTGAGCACCTGTTTTCCACTGCTGAGGAATGTGGACTCCTTTCATGGGTTTGGGTTTGTTTTCAGAGGTGTGTTGTGCATCACTCTCCCAGTACTCCACATACATTTGTTGAAAGAACGAATTGCTGACCACTCCCTATGGTACTGACACAGAGTTGAGTTTGTTCTGTACAGTGCTTGGCCTACAATGTGTTCACCTCACCTTCTGTTATGTCATAGGCAAAATATACTCACTTCTTCACTGCTCTTTAATGAAAAGAGCAAGAGCACGTTCCAGCATTCCCAAACTAGTCTTTGGAGAGGATGGACAATGGAGGTACAGAAAAATAAGTTAGGCAGGGCCTCACACGATGGCTGAGTGGATAAATCCCCGCCTTGCAAAGCCAGCATCCCATATGGGTGCTGGTTCATATACCAGCTATTCCACTTCCCACCCAGCTCCCTGCTTGTGGCTTGGAAAGCAGTAGAGGATTGCCCAAGGCCTTGGGACCTTGCACCTGCATGGGAGACCTGGAAGAAGCTTCTGGGTCTGGATGGGCTTAGCTCCAGCCATTGTTGTCATCTGGGAAGTGAACCAGCACATGGAACATTTTTCTGTCCTCTCTGTAGAATTTATCTTTCCAATACATAATTTCTAAAAGTTTATTATTATTATTATTGGAAAGGCAGATATACAGAGAGAACAGAAACATCTTCCATCTACCACTTCACTCCCCAAGTGGCTGCAATGGCCAGAACTGAGCTGATCTGAACCCAGGCACCAGGAGCTTCTTCTGATTCTCTCACATAGGTGCAGGGTCCAAGGCTTTGGCCTATCCTCTATTGCTTTCCCAGGCCACAAGCAGGGAACTGGAACGGAAGCCGAGCATCTGGGACATGAGCCAGTGCCTATATGGAATCCTGGCACATGCAAGTCGAGGAATTTAGCTACTTGGCTACCAAGCCGGGCCCCTTTTAATAAATCTTAAAAAAAAGAAAAATTGGTCACTGGAACTTGAAACCACACTCATTCAACCAATTGTTTTGAACAGCTTTAAAAATAAGCCATATTCAAAAGAATTTGAATGCATTATCATATTGTAGACCAAGAAACTAGTTTTGTGAAAAAGAGGAGTTTCCATGCAGTCGAGAGATTATGAAATTATTTTCAAGGATGTTCACTGGAGAATTAAGGTATTCAGAGCCACACTATTGATGATCACATTGGAACATTTCCTGCCCATTGTTAAGTACATGATTTAAGAAGAAAACAAGTGGATAAAGAAAATACGTAATCAACCTATGACATGAAAGGAAATTTTCAGAACAAATGTTCTTAATGTGCCATTTGTGCCATTGCTTCACATTTACAAAAAGACTTCAGACCCAGTCCCACATGGCTTTAAGGGTGGCCTGTCTCTTCCCCCAAACAAGCTGGAGCCGGGCCAGTTTTACTTTGAAATACTACCGTGATCTAACATAGAAACGAGGCCTGACAGCACATTTTGGATCTTGAAGAAAAGCTGAGAAATTTGGCTCCAAAATGGGACAGATTGAAACAATTTTTACCAAAGGGATAGGAGACTACAGAAGAAATTGATTCAGGAAAGGCAGCGTCATATCATTTTGAAAAGCTAGATGCGAAGAAGTGCCACGTGGGCAGTTCTTGTTAGAAGGATTGAGCATGCTGCCCGTTATGCAGGAGCATGTGCCAGGCTGATAAAAGCATTTCCCTGCGTTTCAAACTGATGCTGAC